CGCCGCCCTCCTCCGCCCGCCGGGAGCAGGAAGCGCCGCCGGGCCGCGCAGTCCACCGCCGCGTTACCGATTCGCTCGCGCGGCTCCTCACCAATCGTGACATCGGGGATCGGCTACAAAGCCGTCGCGTGCCCGCCCCCCCCCATCCCCGCCGCGTCCCGAGTGGTGCGGCCCCGCGCCGTCGGAACGGGAGAGGCAGGCAGAGCCAACCATCGCGGAGCGGGGGGTGGGGGGATCGCGGCCGGCGGAGGTACCGCTGAGGGCTAGGACGGAGGGAGGCGGGGGCTTCGCCGGCCCCTGCCGGGAGCGGGAGGGCTCCCCCCCCGCCGGCGGGGCGGTGGGAGAGGCTGCCCCTAGCGGAGCCGGGTGGGGCGGCAATGGCGGCGCCGGGCGGGGCCGAAAGCTGGGGTGGTGCAGGCGGGGCCCCTTTAAACACGCGGGGTCGTCCGATAGCTCTTGTTCCCGGGGAGGAATTTCCACCCCCCACCCCCCTCCCCGCTTGTTTTTCTCTTCGGCGCGCACAGTAGGTATCGTGGCATTGCTTGGGTCAGACAAGGCCTCCTAATTATTTTACACCGGTTGACGGCATTTTATTAAAAGCTGTATGTGGCTGTTGGGCACGTGCTGCTTTAAAGAGCTCTGCAGTTATTTTATGTATATTGCCCTTTTCTATAAAATCCGGGCTAACTGGCTTAAGAAATTAAAATGACAAGTCTGGGTCAGGATTTAAAGCAGTCCCCTTTAAAAAACCTGTCTGCGTTAGTAAGCGCTATTCTTAGCTTTTTATTTTTTAATATCGCCGCTGTTGTACTTGTGCTGCCACGGGAAGGAGCGGGTCCGTGTGTTTTTGCAGGAGCGCATGAGCCCGGAGGCCCTATGTGGTCCCCGTACAGCTCCCTGAGCCTTGCCAAAGGCTTGGCGATGCCACGGTGCCCTCCTTGTGAGGCGAAAAGCAGGCGACCGGTTGAAGCCTGTGTGGTAGGTGTTGACGGAGCTGTGCTGCAGCCTCCGCCCTGCGCCGGCGTGCCGGGTGCGTGCTGTCAAACCAGCTCCCGACCCGGCGGTGGCCGAGGCGAGGTGGAGGGGCACCGGCGCAGTTACTGCTTGGCATGGTCCTCTTGTCCTGCCTGAAGTACTTGCGCTCAGCAGCGGCCTTCGGCCATCACTTGACACGCCTCACGATACGTGGGGTCTGGCGGTGTTACCTTCAAGGGAGGTGGTGTTGCGGTACGTCTTGCGCATATGCACTTGAGGTACTGTCCTCTGACAGTCGAAACACCCCAAGGCTGATAAAGGGTAGGTGGAGGTAGAAGGATGAGGAGCCTCGTCCAAGATACGCAATTGCCTTGCTGGCAGAACCAGGAAGAGTTTCTTGACTCCTCCTGTTCTGAGTTTTGTACACCATTCTGCCTGACAGAAAGGTCGAGATGATGACATCCTTAACATGATATTGGTAGGACGTACACTTTCAGGTGAACACACATTTTCTCTCTTACAAGAATGAAGCTGTTAATGCTTGTTGTTGATATCTCCAGCCAGCTGGTGGTTAAAGCCCTGAGGGGTGTTTTGCAGCAAAACCGGAGAGTCCCTCAAAACCTGAGAGTCCCTCGCAGTCCACAGTGGTGCAAACTCATATTCATTAGCAGGTTAAGCTAGAAGAGCCCACTAGAGGCATTCACAAAGTGAATATGTTTCTATGCCCTGTCTGCCATAACACATGCTATTCCTGATTACAGACGCAGAAAATTGCAGGGTTGAAAATAGGCTTTCATGTAAAAAGGAGGTTATTAATTTAGGGTACTTGGAATGTTTTTCACATTGGCAGCTTTACTGTTGTGTTTGTGTCTTTTTTTTTTTTTCCCCCTAGTTACAGGAATGTGCTTGAAGTGATTGATTTCCACCATGTTCTCACAGTGCTCGCAGGATCTATTAACAATGGCAAATCTTCATCTCCGGAGTCTCAATTTAAATCTGCATTTACGAAACCACAGAAGAGCTTTCAGCAAGTCACTGCCTGCATGTCGAAGGAAAGTAGTTGTTACAGGTATTGGCTTAGTGTCCCCTCTTGGTGTGGGGACTCAGTTTGTGTGGAAGCGCCTTCTCCAAGGAGACAGTGGGATTGCATCGCTAGATGGGGAAGAATATGCAGGCGTCCCATGTAAAGTGGCTGCTTGTGTGCCAAGGGGAAACAAGGAAGGTCAGTTCAGTGAAGAAAGCTTTGTGTCAAAGTCAGAGATCAAATCCATGAGTTCTGCCACTGTGATGGCCATCGGTGCAGCAGAGCTAGCAATGAAGGACTCTGGCTGGTCTCCCCAGTCTGAACAGGATCGCTTAAGTGCCGGTGTGGCAATTGGGATGGGAATGGTTCCACTGGAAGAGATTTCTGATACAGCTGCTTTATTTAAAACAAAGGGTTATAACAAGGTCAGCCCATTCTTTGTCCCAAAGATTTTAGTCAATATGGCAGCAGGCCAGATCAGCATTAAATACCAACTGAAAGGGCCGAATCATGCTGTGTCAACTGCTTGTACCACAGGCACGCATGCTGTTGGAGACGCCTTTAGATTTATCGCCGCTGGTGATGCTGATGTCATGTTGGCTGGAGGGACTGAGGCTTGCATTAGTCCTTTGTCCTTGGCTGGATTTGCAAGAGCTCGGGCCCTCAGCACGAGTTTTAACTCAAGCCCTAAAATGGCATGTCGACCATTTGATTCGCAGAGAGAAGGGTTTGTAATGGGAGAGGGTGCTGCTGTGGTGATCTTGGAAGAGTATGAACACGCTGTACAAAGAGGTGCTAGGATCTATGCAGAAGTTTTAGGTTATGGACTGTCTGGTGATGCTTGCCACATAACAGCACCTAATCCAGAGGGAGATGGTGCATTCAGGTAAGAACTATATGTTGATTATGATGGCTACTTCATATGTTAATTATAGTGGGGGTATGTGTTTCTGTTACTGTATGCTTTTCCTAGAGAAATTCAGTTCAATCTTGAATTAATATTCCAAAAGCCTGAAAACTTAATCTGAAAAATGAAAGCAATTCTGGTAAGGTTTGCCCCAATTTTTTTTTTTAGTACCAAGGTGAAGGCCAGTTCTTGCTAGAATCAGCCTTTTTGCATAGTTATGAAAACTTTATGTGATGAAAATATTTTTGCGTTTGGTGCCTACAGCTGTTCACAGAAATAAGTCTCAATGGAAACCTCTTTTTTAAGATTTTTGTGGTATGATAGAACCTTTTCACATTCTCCGCCACCCTTTGTCCATAGAGAAGAGAGACCCCACTGCAAAAGCAGCTCATATCATTTGTTGTGGTCTGAAAGGGGAATAGCATTCCTAAAGAAATCCCAAGTGATGAAAGCTGTAGAGCACTTGGAGGATCTGGTTTGTTAGAATAATTACTGTACATGTAATTAGCATTAATTGTGGCTATTCTTATTTAGAAAAGACTTCAGCTCTTCATAGGGAAAGTATTTAGATCAAATGCCGGTGCTACAATCATGTTTAAATACTTCATTCTGATGCAGCTAAGCGAGTTGGTGGAGGGGCATAGCAGAAATCCACTTTAGTAATGTTTAGTGAGATGGTAAAGCTTCATCATTGTTAATCTCATCAAAAACAGTTCACAAGTAGATGATATTCATCTAGTCTTTATCATTGACCTAATTAAATTGTCAGCTAAATTACATGTGTAAGTATATGTACTGTTTGTGAGCTTTTTGTAGGCTGAATACTATTGCTGACATTGGGATCTTTAGTAAAGATTTAGTTTGCATTATTCTGAATGTATGTGAATATTTAATAACAAAATTCAATATATCACTGCACAAATAGATCAAACTTCTGCATTGTATTGTAAAGCTGTGTTTGCATCTTTATTGGATTATCAGATTTTTCAAGAAGTGTAATATATCAGATTTCCCTTCTGTGCTATTGGACTCGTATTTAATTGTTCTGCAGGCTTAGGTAAGAGTTGAGTAATCAGGAGTGTCTTATCTCAGATTTTCAGACTTGTTTACCCTTGAGATGATATGGCAATATATTGTAACAGAGTTTTTGTATATTTTATGATTGCAGTAGCATATAAATTAAATTTACACTGGGAAGTAGTTGAATGTTAATCTTTGTATCTCCAAAATGTTGAGCCTTTCCACCCCTGAGATGAGATAATACATTTTAATACAGTCTTCAAACCAATATTTTGTTACTGCAGTGGTGTATGGATTAAATCTGAAACGTATACGCTTCTCTTACTTTTCTGTAGGGATTTTATTTGCCATGTCAAAAAATTCAGGGGAATATATTTTTTTGTCATCTTCCAATAACTACTTTAGTTGGAGACTAAGACATATGTTGGAATAAACCTGCAGGAAAGGAGAGGCAAGGCCAGGCTCAGAAGCATGGATATAAAGTGTGTTCTACACAATTAATCTGTTATCTCCTTAAGTAAATATGTTCCTTGCAGCTGACGTATTAAACTAATTTAATGTATCTGTTTACCTCACAGTTGATCAGTAATCTTTTTTGCCTCAGTGTTGGCTTACTATGTAGTGATAATGAGCATCAGTGGCCTCCAACCTAAGCTGAGCTGGATGCTTCTGAGGGTAGAAGGCTGTACTGGAGATAGTTAAATTTGTCCAGCAGCCTGTGCTATCTTTTTTTTTGAGCTTCTTTTTTATTTACTTATTTTTCATAAATTTCATAAGAGTCAATGGTCCTTTGCTCTGAGATACTTCCTTAAGCTCTATGTATAAGGAGAGATGTCTAATTCATCCTCTTCTTTCTGTGGGAAATCTGTGAGAAAATCACAGTATGGAGCTGTATGGATCTTTCTGTGGTTTTCATAAAAGAGCATGTTTTATAGAGGCAGTCACAGTCCACAGGTAGTCAGGAGTCAGAATGGAACATACAGTGTCAGAGTAGAAGAGTGTGACTTTCAGTAAATTTCACTTTATATATAAGAATTTGTGCTATCTCCTTGCTGTTGCAGGGGCAAGGACAACTTCTAGCCTCTAGAAAGCATGCAAAAGAAGCTCATGAAGAGGATGACTGCAGAATTTTTCTTTCATTTCCCAATATTTTTATTTGATAGAGCAATTTTTATTCCTAATTCCCTAATACTGTAAATATGAGGGAAAATAAAATTTAAAAACTAGGGAATCTTCTTTTCATTTACAATGGGAAGGGGATTTCTTCAACCTTTGTAGTGAATGTTACATTAATGTGTTGCTACACTAGAGAAATGGAGGAAATCTAAATTTTTGTAATAATTTCAGGTAGTTATTTCTTTCTCAAATGTTTTCAAATTTTGCATTGAAAAGGGTCCTTGATATATTAATGTAGACTGTAGAGATGGTTTGTTATATCTTCTTTCTTTCTCTTTGTATTTTTCCCAGCCGTGGAATTTTTAGCAGTGAGTCTGATTTTTATAGTGGGTCTCAGCACTACTGTCTTTCTTGAGTGGCTAAACGTAGATGCTATTGTGTTTAGTTAGATGAATCCATCTCTTGTCATTTACATCTCTGGTAAAGTATGTCATGCAGATTTTCACATTTGATAAACACTTTAAAACACCCTGTACTTTTGCTTTTGGTTTGTACATGTGTGTTAGTGACAAAAATACAATGGGAAATTCAGCATTCTGCCTTTTTTTTTTTCCTTAGGTGTATGTCTGCAGCGATAAAAGATTCTGGGATCAAACCTGAAGACATAACGTATGTCAATGCACACGCAACTTCTACCCCTCTAGGAGATGCTGCTGAGAATCAAGCAATCAAGAGACTTTTTAAAGATCACTCATGTAATATTGCAGTTTCCTCAACAAAAGGAGCAACAGGACATCTCTTAGGGGCTGCAGGAGCTATTGAAGCAGCTTTCACAGCACTGTCCTGTTACCATGGGATTTTGCCACCTACTCTAAACTTAGAGAAAACAGAGGCAGAGTTTGATCTCAACTACGTTCCGTTAACAGCTCAGGAGTGGAAAACTGAAAAACGGCGTATAGCACTCACAAATTCATTTGGCTTTGGTGGTACTAATGCAACTTTGTGCTTTGCAAGTGTTTAACTTACACTGTGCATGTTATGAAAAAAAGGCACTGACAATGATTTTCTGTACTGCCACCCTTGGTGTGTACTGTGATCTTTTCTCAGCTTTGAGAATTGCTCTCTTGATCTGCAAGAATTTTATTCACCCTAACATTTACATCAGTAATTCTTTTAGAAAGAGGGAACATCTTTTACTCATTTTAGTAAAAATAAATAAAAGACCTATCCTTTGTGTGGTAAAGATGTTTTTGTTCTTGACTAGAAGAGAAGACATTGATCATTCTGTGTTTTTACTTCATTAGAATAGATTTTTCATATGCATGCAGCACAGAAATTGCTTGGAAACATTTATGCAAAAGGAAGGCTGGCTAACAAGTTATGGCTCCGTAGTCGTGACTTGATGACTTACTGTGTGATGATACAAGGTTTATGACTGAGCTTCCGTTTGTCACGCGTTCCGTTTATAATTCTGCCTTTTTCCTCATCGTAAATTGTTTCAAATATCATAGACTTACGCACATTCTTCTACACGGATGACATTCAGGAGAAAATAGTATAGGAGTTCATAAGATTTCTGACAGTGGTTCATTTTCTTTTCAGCTTTATTAATTTCCATATATTGCATTACCTCATTAGCCATGGCATGGAGTGGTAACAGTGAAGTATATGTACAGTATGGCCTATACATCTTCCATGTGGGACAGGGATAGAATTAGTAGGTGATAACCTGTTTTGTTCTGAAATTTTGGACAAGAATAGCAAGGCAGATATTCAAGTACGGTATTGAGGATTTAAAAAATAGTTACACAGAAAGGAAAAAGACCCTTGAAACCCCTTGTTGTTCTGCCAAAATGGAAAAATAGAACTAGCCAAACTTGGAAAAACAAGGAATCTTTTGGGGGGGGGGGGGAAGCACATATGCAAGAAATAAATCTGGGTCTTGTGTTGAGGATGAGAAAGGGGAAGAAAGAGAACAAGGAAATTATACCTAAAACTGACGTATTGATAGTGGTTTAGGTTGTTTCTTGCAAAGAATAAGTAAAGGGCTTTGGCTGTTCGTTCTGGCAGCAGTCAGCATCTTAGCCAAGTAGTGCCTCGATCAGTAGTGCAGATGTGAATGAAGTTGGACATCCCTATTGGTGGGTTAGTTTATTAAAAGGCTTTTCACTGGTTTTCTTTTTGAAAATGTCAGTCTTAGCCTTTGACCTGTGTAAGTGGAGACAAAGTAACTCACTGGATTTAAAATAAAGGACATAGAAAGTAGCTGTACTATAAGTAAATTTCATTCTGAAAGAGATTACTAATGGGCTATCACAAGGCTTAGCAGTACCCTAAAACTTCATTATTTATACAAATGGTCTGAATGCTGGTATGGAACAGCATAATTTTTGCATTTGCTGTCTTGACTGAATAGGAAGTTAAGAGAATGATGAGAAAAATGCAGTCGGAGAATGATTAAGACTCTTTCCAGAAGCTGAGCTCATACAGAACAATGCAGTCCAAAACAGATTGATGAGTAATAAGCCTGGAAGTAAAATAATATATTACCAAAGGGAAAATGTGAAAGTGTACAGACTAGAGAGAGTATAGGAATTTGCTGTCGGGAAGAATACCGGCAAACCTCTTAGCTTGTGATAATTAATAGTAGCAGTACAATGAATGAGGATCTGGGTTGCACGCAATATAAAATGCAGAATAAAAAAATTCAACATTACTCTGCAAATTATATGCAAAAAGGAATTGACTTAAGGAATTCAGCCTCCAGGAAAGAGCTAGCAGCAGGGTTGTGAATTTGGAGGAAATAATCCAGCAAGTTTCTTCTGGAGATAATATTGTTTCAGGTAGTTGCAATCCAAGGTGGAATATGGGAAGACTAGATAGTGCTGCATTATTGTGGAATGGAAATACAGTCTAACTAAATTTACCCAATCTTGTTATGTGGCTGCAGACCTGTAATTAATACTGTGACAGAGAGATACACTTCCCTTTCCCTCTGATAGCAGAGATTGTGGCCCCAGGAGTGTTGAATGGAGACTCTTGTGTACCAACCCTGAAAAGACAAATTATACTGTCACACAAAAATAAAACAGAAACTGAAATGATTAAAAGATCTTTCTTCTCACTTCAGCTGACTGCAATTTAATCATCTGCTGCAGGTAACCCTTAAACCATGAAAGCTTTGTGACAATAGTTATTTTAGATGTTTTGATTATGGATAATTTTAACAGGCCTAGATGCAGTAATAAATAGTGTACCCTGTAGGGAATTAAGATTTAAAAAACAATGAGCAGAGCCGAAGTTCAACCCCTGTCTATATGAATTTTGTTTGTGTAGGTTTCATTTTTATGTACTTGTTTGGAGTCAACTCTTTTTATCACATACCCCACTGAGCTGATCAGGGACTGCTTACTGCTAATTACTGCTTTATTATGGTAGGTGCAAACATAAGAAGAAAATAGATTTCTCTATGTTGCTAAACTATTAAGTGGGCAAATTGACCAACATTTTAAACCAAAATGCTTTCCCTTAAAATGCTCCCTTCATCTTAATAATCAAGAGATGTAATGGTCCAGAGTTTGGATTAAAAAAGCTTAATGTTTAGACTCATAATCTTGGAGTTACTTGCTGTCTGATAAGCAAAGCCTGGAAATGCTGATAGTTTATTTTGAATCCTACTTCTGAAGTGGTGCAACACACCTGTGAGAACCATATGCTCCAGGCAGGATCACAGAGTGGCCAAGGCTGGAAGGCACATCTGGAGGTTGCCTAGTCCAGCCCCCCTGCTCAAAGCAGGGCCAGCTAGAGCAGGTTACTCAGGGCTGTGTCCCACTGGGTTTTGAGTGTCTCCAAGGATGGAGACTCCACAAGCTCTCTGGGCAATCTGTGCCAGTGCTTCGTCACCCTCACTATAAGAAGTTTCTTTCATTTAAATGGAATTTCCTGTACTTAAATTTGTGCCCGCCACCTCTTAACTTGTCACTGGACACTGCTGAGAAGAGTCTAGCTCCTTCATTCCCCTCATCAAGTATTTATACACATTGATAAGACCTTCTGGAGCCTTCTCCAGGCTGAACAGTCCCAAGTCTCATCCTCTCCTCTTATGTCAGATGCTCCAGTTCCTTCATCATCTTTGTGCCCCTTCACTGGACTTGCTCCAGGATGTCCATGTTTCTCATGTACTGGGGAGCCCAGAACTGGACCTGGCAGTGCAGATTGTCTCACCAGTGCTGAGTAGAGGGGAAGGATCATCTCCCATGACCTGCTGCTGCTGCTCTTCCTAGTGCAGCCCACGATGTTTTTGGCTGCCTTTGCTGCAAGGGCGGCTGGTCCAACAGGACCACAGGTCTTTTTCTGCCAAGCTGCTTTCCAGCTGGTTAGCCCGAGGAGGAATGGTGCATGGGGTTATCCATCCCCAGGTGCAGGACTTGGCATCTCCTTTGTTGAACTCCATGAAGTACCTGTAAGGCCATTTCTCCAGCCTGTCCCGGTCCCTCTGGCTGGCAGCACATCCACCTGGTGTATCAACTGCTCCTCCCAGTTTTGTATCATCAGCCAACTTGCTGAGGACTCTAGCTCACTGTCTAGGTCATTAATGAAGGTGTTAAACAGTACTGGTCCCAGAATACATCTCTGGGGTACTCCACTGAGGTCTGGCGTCCAGCTGGACTTCATGCCACTGTTGACAATCCTTTAAGCCCAGCAGTTCAGCCAGTTTTCAATCCACTTCACTATCTACTTATCTAGTCCATACTTCATCAGTTTGTCAATAAGAATGTTATGGGAGACTGTACCAAAAGCATTGAAACTGTGATGCTTTTTAGCAATCCAACTGATGTTAAAAGAAATATCTGTCTGAATATACATATCCCCTCATCAAAAAACTGCAGACACTGATTCCTGGCTGCTACTGATAATCGTGTCAGGTTTTCTTGTTGAAATGTGCATTGAGACTAAGAACATGAATATAATTTGAGAAATCTCTCAGTCCCGGTTATTTAGTTGTTGGTGAGGTGGAAGCCAGGTAAAAATAGATTATTTAAAATCTTGTTTTGTTTTGAATCAAAGATTTTTACTTAAACTAGTCTTTTTAGAAATCAATACATTTGAAACAAAAATTGGAATTATGACAACGTACGTGAACTCATTTATTTAAAGGAACCTAATAAAAAGTTGTGTTATAAAAAATTGTAAGCAGCATATGTTTGCTGAAATCTTACAAAAGTCACGCCACTGTTCAGGGTTAATTACTGTCTGTCTCTAGAAACAGTTTGTTAAAATGATAAACCTCATTTAATTTTGGACTTCTATAGCTTGTTTTGCAAGTGTAGAGAGAATATATTCCTCAATTTCAGTTTACTCAGGTTAGTTTAGTTCAGTGTGCATAACCTTTTTTTCAGACATACAGCACCTTTTTTACTAATTAAAGAATTTAGAAAATGATGTCTTGCCAGTTCCTAAATTATTTCAAATTAACATCCAGTTAAAGCTTGAAAGAAGTACGGAGCAGAAGGTTTTCTTTTCAGTAAAAATATGATTCATAGTTTTCTAGTATGATAATAAAAATTAAGAATAAGTGTATACTAAACTGTAATTACTTCAAGGCATATAGGGCATCCTTTTGAACAAAAAGCTAACTAACAGAATGACTCTATTTAGTTGCAAGTCAGCATGTTTTCCTGCTTATCAGCTGATGATAGTTTGCCTTTCTCTAGCATGGAATCTCTAGAGTATACTTTGGATTGTATTTTATGATTTCTCAAGCCATGAGTGAGCCTGTAGTGAAGAGAAATGCATATTAGAAAACCACGGGTGGCTGGTGATCAGCCTTGTCCCATCACCCTTCTCACCCAACCTGACAGCTGGGGCCATGGATGGGACAGCCATGCTGTGGGGGGTCTGTGCCAAGTCCCTTGGCTCTGTCAAACGTTTGAGGTGGCCTCTTTGTGGGACCAGGCTTTTGAGTTTGGGGACCAGATGGGGCATGGGAAAACAGTTGGTACAAAAGGCTCCAGGAGGTTTGCTCCCAATTTTTTGTGATCTAATTTGTCTTTCCTTTTGTGTCTTCAAGTTTGTTTCCATTTTAATGAAGTCAAAAGCAGACTTGAAGGACAGTTGGATGGTTGAGAATGCTTGTTGAAATAAAGAGAAAAGTCTTTGTGATAAGAGATATAAGAAGCTCTACTGATTTTAAAACGTGGTTGG